GCTATTTATCGTTTCAACACCGATATCGCAATGTGCGCATCTGAATAAAGGACGTCACGGTGTCGCAGTGGTTAGCACGGTGGCCTCACAGCAGGAAGGTCACTAGTTCGAGTCCCAGCTGGGTCAGTTGGCGTTTCTGTGTGGAGTTTGCATGTTCTCCCCGTGTTGGCAGCTCATTTGCATTTAAAGCCACAGGCGACAAAAACAGCTACACTATACTCAGACACAAAAATGGGCAGATTCTACATTACATAATCAATAGTCTGATGGGTGTTTTGAGCAGAACTTTACAGGACATATTCTGGAGACCCTGAAGTTTCTCACATCGCCTAAAATAGGTGCTCTTTAGGGCTTCACACTGAACGTTTGCTGCATTTATTAATCATCATGTCTTGAGGTCGATTGGTTTAGTGTGGTTTTTTTATGTGCAATGGACCCCTCACTAAGCCCCACCCTCCTTAGTTACCGTTGCCATGCCTGTCAAGCTTTCGTGTCTGGCACGACTTTTTTAATGTGTGTGTGTTCGTAGCTTGAAACAGATGGAAATATGAAGTTCAGTAAAGTTAGCAACAGATTTGTATTTTCCGGATCAATAACTCATGTCATTATGACCTATTCGCTATTAGTATGATGTTACTAACGTTATGGCGAAGGCTTAAACGGAGCATTACTCATAATATCGAGCGAAAAAAAGGAATAAGACAGCTGTGAAACAGAACCAGCTTTGTATTTTTGTAGGAAACACAGTTTAGATCTGTTTAGGGTGAGAGGTGTGTGAGTTATTGCCGTCTGTCTATCACTGAATGTGTCAGGAATATCAAAACAAAACCAACTCATCTCCGCTCCTTTAGCGCCCCTAACACAGCTTGATCCACGCTGGCATTTCTCCTCTTGGGTTTTAGGTTTTGAAAAGGGAAGAATTCCACCATCCCGTCCAAACTTTAAGGAGACCGGGTATCAGAATTGCACAATCCATATCCACTCGCTCGAAAGCTTGACAGAGCCCCTGCGCGTAGCTACAGTTGCTAAGCCACAATTAGTGGATGGCGGTTTTTGGGTGTGGCTTAGCGAAGGGTCAATTTGATTGGACTGGAATCACAGGAATGATTATTCTACTCAGCCAATCACTAGGGTTGAGTATCGTTTGTGGTTATTTCGATACCAGTGCTAAATTGATACTTTTAAAACGGTACCGGTGCCTGAACCGATACTTTTGAGCCACAAAATGATGGTGCACGACTCTAGAAAAATCTTTTATTTGACAAAATCTTTTATTAAGTAATTTTAAAAGAACAATGCAATTACAGTTTAAAGTAAACACCAATTCATATTTTATATATTTGAATGACATTAAAATATTTCCTTTGATCATTTATTGGTTAGCAAGAATTTAAGATTTGCATTATGAAATAACATTGGCTTACTGCTAACCTGTGGAAAGGCTGTCATCAAAATACTGAACTCTGTAACTGTGTTTACATGGTTATCAGTGATCTAATGATTTGCCCTAATCTGAATAAGACAGTAATATGATCAAGGTGTTTGCATGAGCTGCATTTAGAATGTTCCTTTCATGATCCCGTCTTACATGTTAAAGTACATAGATTGATTAACATCATTGTGTCACCACGATATCCATGCTTCCTTCAGAGTTTCATGTAATTTCAAGTGTTTCATTTTTAATTTTTCTACTTTAACTGCAGTTTCACTTTCATTCAGGAGCATTTTATTCATGCCCCTTTGACAAACAGGTATTTAATGCAAGCATTACGTAAGGACTGCTGGAAGAGTGCTCTTTTAATGACATTTAATACTGCATGTTGAATGGGAAGAAAAAGCCTCAGCATTTTGCGACGCAGGTGTCTGTGATCCTTTAAGGTAATCAAAAATCCCTGTTTACATGGTAGTCTAGACTCTTAATCAGAGTATTGTCTTAATCATATTAAAATTGGAGCATTGGTGTCCATGTACATACTCATTGAAAGTGCCAGATGATGTCGCAAGCTTTCACAGACAGAGTTTAAATGTGTTATTAAGCTTGACGTGTTTCCCCCTTACATGCAACTTTTGTAAAGCATCTGCTTTTCGTTGCGGTGTCAGAGTCCTTGCTTGTAAAATACGCTTTAGAGCGCTTAGTTTAGGCAAATTTGATGAACGCGATCATGTGTGTTTATCTGAAGAGAGTCACTCTCGCTCACAGAATGCAGAATTCCCTAAGCAACAAGAACAAACGCCTGACATCGCCTGTCCGTATCCCTCAAAGTTGTTTAGGATTAAATGTTTAGAGATGGTGTGGCAACATGTACCTATGTGTGCCTTTGATGCACCCTTCAATGTTTCTTGCGTCCTTGTCGCAGCACCAGTGGCACCGAAATTAGGCACCGAAATTCATATGCTGATTCGGTCTGGTGCATACCGGTTACAAAGGTACCGGTGCTATAATGACACCGGGTTTTGGTACCCAACTCTACCAGTCACAGAAGACGAGAAATAAATCAACATGACTGCAGGTTGAAGGAAAGTAGCACAGTAAAAGTACTAATACAGCACTAAAAGTGTACTTGAAGCACATTTTATAACTTCCTGGTAAAGTACAGTTTCTTAGAAAAGACTAAATGACAGTAATTCAGTATTTCTAGTTGATTATTAGACACCTCTGGATGATAGTATGTTGAGGGCCAACATCTGAACTTCAGTGCCTCGTCTGAGACGTTTGAGTGATGTGAAATGTTGACATATTTCCCCGAACTTGATGTCTGGTAACTTTATCTGATTAGAAAAACGAAAAGAACAGAAAGAAAGCCTAATTCATGCAGCGTTTGTCCTCATTTGACATCTGAGAGCCTGAATGAGTCTTTTTTTTCTTGTTGGAACGATAAACGAGAACAAGGAATTTCCTATAACTGTTGAACAGTTAAAATTAACAAGGCACTGTTAAAGTTAATGTGTGTTCAGCAGGGGTAAAATAAGGTGAAGCTTGTGTTAAAACCTGCACAGTAGCTGCGTGGAGCAGTTTCAGGAACGTAAGCAATATTTGGAGAACGCAAGTTGAAAATAAATAAAGTGCAGACACTGTTTTAGATTTGTTGCTGCCGCAGTTCTTTTAAAACTTGAGTCAAATTCATTTATAGAATTTATTTAAACTTTCATTTATTTATATTAATTAAATCATCAAGTTTGAATTTATATAACTTAAAAAAAAAGTTGAAACCAGATCAACTTTATAAAATAAGTTAAAGTACAGTTTATCATTTCAGCTTTGATATCGCAATGTGTGAGTCTGCAGTGTGATTGGGATTATAGTTGACCAGACATTATACAGTTAACATAGCAGAGTCATTTTAAATTTCATCCTTAGAGTTTTTAGTAAAAACATTATTATTATACAGTGATTCTTGAGTCTTTGTTTTTAAATACTGTTTGACTCCAGATAATCGTAAATCACTGTTTATTTGTATCTGTTGTATATAACTTAGCTTGTCATTTTTAAAATCATATCACAGAATCATCCCTATCCATCAGAAAATAATATATATATCGCAATATACATCACAGTAAATGAAAATAATGCAACGTCAGTTTTTTCCGATATCCTGCAGCCATAATATACTGTTATCATCTTTAGTTAGTTTTATATTTATTAAATTCTTATAATATTTTATTTTAGTTAATGGTTTGAATGTAGGCGTTATTAGCCTAAATTAAAGATGTGTGAGTTCTGCATTTCTGTGCACAACATTAGTATTTTCTAATTTAAAGCCATAGTATGTAATATCACCACTAGAGGGCGTGTTTTCACAACAAACAATGGCACATTTTGATTCCTCTGTGACTGAGTGTGTAATCATCGGAGTTGTGGTGTTCATCATCCTACAGGACTCCTGCAGAAATCATCTTGATGATGAGTAAAGTCTTCAACACTTACTCCCCATTCACACACAGTCAACGCTTCCCATTCACTTCGAATTGGTGACGTCTAGCATTGCTAAATTAAATTGTGGATCCATTGGTGCTGCTTCAGCATCGTTGCTCACTGCAGAAGTTGGGAATTTCTCAACTTTTCAAGCGGCAACTGAAATTTCTGCCAATCAGATCGCTTTATGCAAATACCCCCGCTCAGACAGTAGCCCATTGTGCACTAATTTGATTGGCTGACGCTGCTATGATGATCGTGTCGGCCCCAACTTCACACACGCCCTGCGTAAAGTGTGTGAATCAGGCGTTATGACAGGACGAAGCAGATTAAAGCTGAAAGAAGCGATACAAGAGAAACTCAATTTCTAATTGAGAGACGAGACTTCTGTTATAATTCTGCTCTGTAAAGTCTAATAACACACAACATAGAACGTTTCTAGAAAACCACACCAGAAATTGAGTGTGACATCATTAGCATAAACACACACACACACACACGCCATCTCACAAGATAAAATTGAGGATTTTTCTGGATTTTAACCCTTTCTCAGAACATTGAGTAGAGTGTAAGAGCGCTACCTGACAAAAGTCTTGTGTGCTATCCAGGTTTTATGAACAGCAAATAATATTTTGACTTCTAGTTGCTGATTTGGTGTCAGAAGTGTGTCTATGAAAGGCGAAGGCCTCTAGATTTTGCTAATTTGAGCTCAATAAATCTGATCATGTCTTGATGTTGACTGATTTGATGAGGACAGTGCGCTCTGACTCTGCTCAGACTAAAGTCTCATCACTGAACAGAAATAATGTCCAGTATAGAATATAAAGTCCTGCTGCAGTGGAGACTGAATGAATATTGTGTCTGACTCCATCATGAGCTTGGAGGACTGCATCCATACATCTCTGACATGACTCACATCACTGATTAATAAAGTCATCTGGAATGAAGAAGACTTCCAGAGTTCATCAAGACTCTGTGTTTATCTTCAACACCTCCTCCTTCATCAGCTCAATAATGTTCATATCTGGTGACTGGGCTGGCCAATCCTAGAGCAGCTTGACCTTCTCTGCTTTCAGGAGCTTTGATGTTGAGGCTGAAGTATGAGAAGGAGCGCTATCCTGCTAAAATTAAAGCATCTCTTTTTCTTTAGCACATTATACAATAGAGATAGTGTTACCACAGCACAATTGAAGATATTTATTTAGAGTGTGCTTGTAAGTTCAGTATTACCTGCGTGCAACATTGGCAGTAATATACTGTAAATTTTACAGTCAGTGTTCTTCATTCTGGGATTTTTGCACCTCCGGATAAAGGGTTAAAGCAGAGAAAGAGAGAGAGAGAGAGAGAGGCAGGTGTCCTAGTACCAACCCCACGCTCAACCAGATGTTTTTAATCCTCTGTAGATCTGCAGAGTAATTCATTACTGTCATCTGCGCGTGAGGGCGAGTTCTGTGGTCTGGGCGATCGCCTGTGTTTCTCCAGAAGTCTAAACTATCAGACAGCATTTTTTTTGGTGCTGCTTGGAAGCTCAGTTGTGGCTCAGCTGATTCAATAAAATTAGGTTAGTAGCTTCTGAAAGCAACTCCTCATCTCTGCTCTGCAACATGTGGTGGATGCTGTTTCCTCGCTGGATCTGGTTCGTCTTGGGACACTTTTTGCTGCTGTTTGTGCACCGGCAAAGCGTGAGAGGCATGACTTTGCAAGGAGTTGCGAATTCCCACGCAGGGATCTGTCCAAACGACATGAACCCAAACCTGTGGGTTGATGCAATGAGCACCTGCAAACGGGAATGCCAAACTGACCAGGTTTGCAATTTAATTTAGTTACTTTTTTATTGCATTGAAATTAAGTTAATCTTTTGACTGTAATATATTTTGCATGCTTGTCTATATAATTTTATAGTAGCATGCAATATATTTATTTACACGCAGTTGAAGCCAGAATTATTAGCCTCCTTGTTTATTTTTTTCCCGAATTTGTGTTTAATGGAGAGCAGATTTTTTCAGCACATTTCTAATCATAACAGTGTTATTAACTCATCTCTAATAACTGATTTATTTCCTCTTTGTCATGATGACAGTAAATAATATTAGACTAGATATTCTTCAAGACACTTCTATACAGCTTAAAGTGACATGTAAAGGCTTCACTAGTGTAATTAGGGTAATTAGGCAGGTTAGGGTAATTAGGCAAGTCATTGTATAACGATGGTTTGTTCTGTAGACTATTGAGGAAAAATATAGCTTAAAGGGGCTAATAATATTGACCTTAAAATGGTGTTTAAAAAATTAAAAACTGTCAGACATACTGTGAACATTTCCTGAATCTGTTCAAAATCATTTGGAAAATATTTAAAGAAAAGAAAAATCAAAGGGGGCGAATAATTCTTACTTTAACTGTATATGCTGCATGAGTGTCTATATAAATATATAGTAGTATGCAATATATATGCTGCATGCTTGTCTATATTGCATAGTACTATATATTTATATAAACACATGGATCATATATATATTGCAAACTTCTATATATTTATATAGACACACATGCATCATATATATACATATATATATGCACTGTTGAAGTCAGAGTTATTATAATGATTCGCCCCCTTTGAATTTTTGTCTTCTTTTTAAAATATTTCCCAAATGATGTTAAACAGATTCAGGAAATGTTCACAGTATGTCTGATAATATTTTTTCTTCTGGAGAAAGTCTGATTTGTTTTATTTCGAATATAATAAAAGCAGTTTTCGATTTTATTAAACACCATTTTAGAGACAATATTATTAGCCCCTTTAAGCTATATATTTTTTTCAATAGTCTACAGAACAAACCAGTTATACAATGACTTGCCTAATTACCCTAACCTGCCTAGTTACCCTGATTACCCTAGTGAAGCCTTTAAAGGTTAAGCTGTATAGAAGTGTCTTGAAGAATATCTAGTCTAATATTATTTACTGTCATCATGAAAAGAGAAAATAAATCAGTTATTAGAGATGAGTTATTAACACTATTATGTTTAGAAATGTGCTGAATAAATCTGCTCTCTGCTAAACAGAAATTGGGGAAAGAATAAACAGGGGGGCGAATAACTCAGACTTCAACTGTGTGAGAGATAATCATGTTTAAAGTTGAACTAATTAAGTCCTTAGCAATGCACATCACAAGATTTGAAATAAATGCAATAGGAAATTTACCAAATATCTGGATGGAGCATGATCACTACAAAATGAGTTTTTGCCATAAAATAAAAAACTAGCCATTTGAACTCTGGCTATTACCAAGTATTGTTTCCCATGCACCATAAGACACATGCATCCACACTTACACATTCCCGCATCACACGTTGCATTCATGCAGATTCATCTGTAACATCATGCATGTACTCTTTGCTTATATTTCTCCAGGGATGCGAATCATTTAAAAAAAAAAATGTTGTCATCCACAAATATGCACATCAAACAGTCCGACATCACATGCTGCATGCATGCATTTCAACTTTATATCCATATCCAGCGCATGCAGCTGTAACATCATTTGCTTATATTTCTCCAGGAATGTGAACCGCTTGAGAAGTGCTGCGCCAATGTGTGCGGCAGCCGCAGCTGTGTGGCGGCGCGCTATATAGACACTACAGGCAAGAAAGGGCCCATGGGAATGCCAAAGGAGGCGTCCTGCGACCAGTTCATGTGCACGCAGCAGGGCTCCGAGTGCGACATCCGGGACGGCCAGCCGGTCTGCAAGTGCCGCGACCGCTGCGAGAGAGAGCCGCAGTTCACCTGCGCATCCGACGGCATGACTTACTATAACAAGTGCTACATGGATGCAGAAGCGTGCTCTAAAGGCATCTCATTGTCTGTGGTGTCCTGCCGTTTCCATCTCAGCTGGCCAAACCCCAGTCCGCTTCCCTCAGGAACCACAGCTTTACCAACAACCGCATTGCAGATCACCACTCCAGTACAAATGCAGGCTCCTGTGATCCTCAGCAGTCCAACACAGCAATCGGCATCGATCGGAGACACTGTTAGCTTTCTCTGTGATGTCGTAGGACATCCCGTTCCTGAGATAACCTGGCAGAAGCAGTCGGAGAGCGTGCATATGAAACCCAATCAGGTGTACGGAAACGTGGTGGTCACTAACATCGGTCAGCTCGTTATTTACAATGCACAGGTTCAGGATTCAGGTATTTACACGTGTACAGCTGCCAACGCCGGAGGATCCGTTCAAGCAAACTTCCCACTCTCTGTTTCAAAACCAGAAGCTGTGGTTCAAGTCAACGCCTCCGCTGTTCCTGTTGACGAATGCTTCAAGGCTCCCGACTCCGATGATTGTGGTGAAGAGAAGCTAAGTTGGTTTTTCGACCCGCAGAGAAACAGCTGCAACACCTTCACCTACAGAAACTGCAGCAGCAACCGCAATCACTTCGACGATTATGAATCGTGCATGTCTTCGTGTCTGCTTAACATCTCCGCTTCTTGCATGCTTCCGATTCATAAGGGTCCATGCAAAGCGTATGAGCTTCGCTGGGCGTACAGCAGCACTCTACACCAGTGCAGGCTTTTCATCTACGGCGGATGCAAAGCCAACGAAAACAACTTCAAATCCAAGCGCTCCTGCGAAGATGCGTGCCCGTATCCCAAGAATCATCAGTGCAAAGCGTGCAAACCTCGCTACAAGATGGTGAGCAGCTTCTGCAGGAGTGATTTTGTGATTTTGGGGCGGATGGTGGATCTCACCGAGGATCAGGACTCGGGGCGTGCGCTGGTCATGGTGGAGGAGATACTGAAAGATGAGAAGATGGGATTGAAGTTTTTGGGGAGCGAGCTGCTGGAGGTGACTCTGCAGAACATGGACTGGAGCTGTCCGTGTCCCAACGTGACCACGTCTGACGAGCAGATCATTTTCATGGGGGACGTCCACAACGGGATGGCCGTATTACAGCCCGATAGCTTCATCGTCGTCTCTAGTGTTCGCCGTGTGCAAAAACTTCGAGAGGTGGTCAGTAAAAACACCTGTGACATTCTCAAAGAGTTCGTGCAGTCGTGAATCTTCTGAGAAATCTGCACGGCAGAACATGCGTTTGTCTTGTTTCTACTCCAAATGTCTTCACGTTTTCAAATCAAGAAGCACTTTTGGAGAAGCAAATCATCTAAAATGAGTCAACATTTATTTAAGATAAGCCTTCGGTGTCTCCAGAATGTGTCTGTAAAGTTTCAGCTCAAAACACGCATCAGATTGTTTATCATGTAGAATCTGCCCGTTTTGGTGTCTGAGTACAGTGCAGCCGTTTTCGTAGCCTGCGGCTTTAAATGCAAATCAAGGTTATAATCGTTTTGGACTTTTCATTAGTTTTAGTTTCTATTTCGTTTTGACTTTTTCGTTTCAAATTCATTCATTCATTCATTCATTCATTCATTCATTTTCTTGTCGGCTTAGTCCCTTTATTAATCAGCGGAATGAACCGCCAACTTATCCAGCAAGTTTTTACGCAGCGGATGCCCTTCCAGCCGCAACCCATCTCTGGGAAACACACACATTCACACACACACTCATACACTACGGACAATTTAGCCTACCTAATTCACCTGTACCGCATGTGTTTGGACTGTGGGGGAAACCGGAGCACCTGGAGGAAACCCATGTGAACACAGGGAAAACATGCAAACTCCACACAGAAACACCAACTGAGCCGAGGTTCAAACCAGCAACCTTCTTGCTGCGAGGCAACAGCACTACCTACTGCGCCACTGCGTCGCTGTTTTCAAATTCAATTAGTTTTAATTAGTTTTAGAGGCAGATTTACCCGTTTTTATTCATTCATTCATTTTCTTGTCGGCTTAGTCCCTTTATTAATCAGGGGTCACCACAGCGGAATGAACCGCCAACTTATCCAGCACGTTTTTATGCAGCAGATGCCCTTCCAGCCGCAACCCATCCCTGGGAAACATCCACACACACACACACACACACACACACATCCACACACATACACTATGGACAATTTAGCCTAGCCCTCGGAGGAAACCCACGCGAATGCAGGGAGAACATGCAAACTCCACACAGAAATGCCAGCTGAGTTGAGGTTCGAACCAGCAACCTTCTTGCTGTGAGGCAACAGCACTACCTACTGTGCCACCACGTCGCCATTAGTCTTCATTAGTTTCCATATTTTGAAATTATTTAGTTTTAGTTTAGTTTTTATTAGTTTCAGTATTAGTTTTAGTTTTTTTTTTCTAAATGAGGACATTTGTTAGGTGCAAGATTCAAAATCAACAGGATAAATATTGTTTAATAAAAACTCAGCCATACATTTTCTGAAACATTTATTCAAAGCAAACACATGAACACTTCCATCTACCACAACCATCAACCCATCCGCAAATTCAAATACAGCAGCCCACAGGATAGCAGCCGTAAGGACAATATGTGTTCAAGGCTGCTGGAACTGAGGTTACCCTGCTGAGGTACACCGTAATGGTGGGCAGATTTTTAACACGCATGTTTGGACTCAACATGTAGTTAGCATTCTCAGCAATAGTAATTTTAGTCAACAAAACATCACCATGATCTGAGAAATGTCTTACAGTAAAGTTCTGCAACCCAACTGAATCATACTTCACTTATTTAACTTCATTACGATTGTCTGTTATGAAGTAAACTTACGTTTTTCACCAGATCCTCTCATTTAAGCCCTCGATTGACCAGCGCTGCTGTTGTTTAGTTCAGTCACACAGCAGGCTGTACTGTTTGTGTTTGGTTCACTGAATCACCCTCGACCGCAGCCCATGTTAGTTCACCATAAAGTTTGTTTACGCCATGTACTACACAACACGAATATACCGCGCTCACCAACAACAACACTTTTACCGCACGTTACTCCCACTGTGTGGTACATTCCACGTCACTTCCAGTGTGCGTTACATTCCCTTTCCATAAGGAATCTGTAATTGTAAATGTGTTTCGGGACTTGCAAAAGTGTTTCGCGTCTTGTTAATTTTATTATTAAAATGCAAATTTGTTTCGTCCTTTGGTAAAATAGTTTTTCCTCTGTAATTGTGTCTGATGATGGGTAAAAATGGTTTTTAAAATGTAAAGTTGTCTCGAGCTTTGTAAAAACGTTGCACACTTTGTAATGTTGTTTTCCACTTCCCGGCCACCGTAGATAAACAGCAGTCAGTGACAGAGACAGACTCGGATGAAGCTGAAATAAGGTCACTAGTCAAAAATACCAAGTAAGTTTATTTGATGTATTTGTGCTGGAGTTTATTCAAGCCTTTCTGATACGATGAGTCACACACTACCACCGCTTGCAGCACACACACATTTGTTTACTGACACCATGCAGCAGTGGTGATTATAGCGGTTAAGAATTACAGGGATTTTACTCTACTACAAACACGCTGTTTTAAAAACGTTTTCAACTTTTAGAAATCACAAAGAGTTGAACGGATATTTTAAGTTCTGGTTACTGTGTTAAAGCTGTTCATACGGAGGTAGATGGTCAGACGGTAAGCACAAAAAGGAACGCATCACACCGCCAAGTAGCGTTCGTTTAAAAAATTAAATGCAGCCATACGAACCTCTGGCTAGATAGTGTGCGGCCTCCAGAAGCGTATATGTGATTACGTTGTCAGAATGAGCCTGTCTTGCATTAAACAATGCTTATAGGGATAGTTCACCCACAATGAAAATGTACAATTGCTTTCCTCTTATTTCATGTACAGAGTGCTTTTAAAAACATGCTATATCTTTTTTAAATGTTTATATCTATTTTACTTTTACACATTATTTGTTATTAGACATTTAATACAATTAAACACATTTACATATTAAGATCTTTCTGCTTAGTCTATGAATCTTATAGAATGTTCATTTTGTTGCATTAATCATTAATAAAAGGTTTAATTCTTCACGACTAACACAATATCTCATAATCATGTGTATTATTTAAGCATTATTTAATGCATATTAGTGCGCCTGTGTTGTAAAGCATTACTCCTGTATTTTAATGGTCAAACTTTCAGGAATATTTGTTTGTGTGTGTGTTGTACTGTAGCGTTAGATCTGCTTAAAGCACTTAGATAAGTTGTATGATATTGAATAGGAAATGGACAATAAAGCCTCACTTGTGTATAGCACTTTGTGTATATGATTCAGCACAGACTGCATTTAATGTTAAGCTATTTATTATGATAACTGATGAAGCATCAGTGTGACCAAACCCAAAACGCTGTCATTTCTTACCAGCGCTTGCCTTTTTACAGTTGTCACCTTATTATCTTTATAGTTTGGTGTGTCTGTCAGGATTTGCTTTGTGGATCGACACAAAAATAAACTTTTGAACTTATAAGTGTAATGTTTTTATTGCTTTTCCAGAGTACAACAACGATTAGAATCTCTGGTACACAACTCACTGATTCAAATGATTCATTTAGAGTCAGTTTCCAGATTACAACTCACTGATTCAAATAATTCAGAGTGAGTCTCCAGATTACAACTCAATGATTTAAATTATTTGTTTAGAGTGAGTCTCCAGATTACAACTCACTGATTCAAACGATTCATTTAAAATGAGTCTCCAGATTACAACTCACTGATTCAAAGGATTCATTTAGAGTGAGTCTCCAGATTACAACTCACTGATTCAAATGATTCATTTAGAATGAGTCTCCAAATTACAACTTACTGATTCAAATGATTTGTTTAGAGTGAGTCTCCAGATTACAACTCACTGATTCAAGTGATTTGTTCAGTGTGAATTTCCAGATTACAACTCCAATGTAATGTTAGTCTCCAATTAAAACTAATGAATTCAAATAATTCATTCAGAGTGAGTCACCGGTTAACTTCTCACTGATTTAAATGATTTGTTCAGTGTTAGTCTCCAGTTAACAACTCATTGATTCAAATGATTCAATCAGAGTGAGTCTCACTCCTGCCAACTCTCCTGTTTTTCCCGGGAGTCTCCCGTATTTCAGCCCCCCCCCACACACATACACACATACACACATACACACATACACACACACACACACACACACACACACACACACACACACACACACACACACACAGACATACACACACACGTCTCCCGTGATTTACTGATTCAAATGTTGCCAGGTATGGTGAGTCTCCAGATTACAACTCACTGATTCAAATGATTCGTTCTCAGTGACTCTGCAGATTACAACTCACTGATTCAAGTGATTCATTCTGAGTGAATCTTCAGATTTCAACTCACTGATACAAGTGATTCATTCTGAGTGAATCTCCAGATTACAACTCACTGATAAAAGTGATTCATTCTGAGTGAATCTCCAGATTACAACTCACTGATACAAGTGATTCATTCTGAGTGAATCTCCAGATTACAACTCACTGATACAAGTGATTCATTCTGAGTGAATCTCCAGATTACAACTCACTGATACAAGTGATTCATTTAGGCCTTTTAAAGGCAATCTGCATCATAAAAAGCCGTATTACAGTATTATTTAAACCAACAACTATAGGAGTCTTTTAATAATCCACAAAATACGCCAAAGGATAGCATTTTATTATGGTATTACAGCAATGACCTGTACGAAATTACACAACTGAACAAGACCACGATATCCTGCATTTGTACAGTAATAAACTGAATATACTATCAAAACAGTTGTATTACACAGATACAGCTCTAACTTAAACATATATATATTTAATATTTAATAAACATTTATTATCTGTGGATGCTGTTTGTTTTGTAAAGCATGCCAGGAAGCCTTTTATATAAGTTTGGTTTTGTTTTTCACAGTAAATAGTTTGATATTCAGTAATATTTGGCACACACCCTGCTGTAAACGCTGTGTTATGGAGGAATGAGTTGATCTGAGACGTGAATGAGGTGTTTGGCAGTTTTAGTGGACTTTGGATAAAAGCTTTAGTGAAGTGTTGAGAAATGTGTCCGAGAAACTGAACACAAATAATAGCATCAATAATAACATTAATACTGATAATATCAACAGCAATATTCTTCCAATTTCTTTTCGGATTAGTCCCTTTATTAATCTGGGGTCGCCACACCGCCAATTTATCCAGCATATGTTTTACACAGCGGATGCCCTGCTGCAACCCATCACTGGGAAACACCCATTTATTAAATCTATTTATTCCTAAGTATACTGCTTGACTTTTTTGATGCAGTGCCTTATGTCTGCGCTGTCTGTATATAGAGTCTGTATGGTTTGGTGTTTTAGTGATGGCGCTGTATGGGGCCCCATCGGTTCATTCCAGCAGACTCATGCGGGCCCCCGCTGAGCTCCAGATCAAGAGCTGTTTGGACTTGAGCATTTGGGACTTCCTCTAATGTCCTGACAGATGGT